AGGAAAATCTGTGTCGAGCCAAGTATTATTTGCTGCTAGAGATCGATCAGGCAATAGTTTGGCATGGCGTATTTGCCATACCAAACAATTTCTGGTGTATATTGGCCTAGGGCTTGGATGTTATTATATGGGAAATCCCTACATTTCTGGTAAAAATTTCCAGTGAGCTTCTTTATTTGTTCGAGTAACGTCGGTACGTCAGTCTATTTATGTATATATTTTGTAGAGTATTAGTGTCTCGTCAGTGGGTTTCTTGATTTGTTGAGTGCTAGTCGTTAAGCTTTGTTTTGTACTGTATGTAGACTCCCTCGCCTAGTCGGCGACGTACACCAATACCGGTCTTATTAATGTCAAATATAGTGTCCGCTTGTTCTTCACGCTCAGCGAGCTGTTGTGGTTCAAAAGAGATCTAACTACATTCATCATTCCGTAAAGCCTATTCGATTTTCATGTTGGTAAGTTTTGTGACGCTGAGTCTGTAATCCAATGTCACACCAAGGTATTTAACATCCTTGGACCATTCAACTTCGTTGCCTATTACTTTTAACTTGTCTAAGTCAGCCAGTGTAGGAAAGTTACACGAAGATTCTTTATGAATGTATAATTACTGTTAATTGCTGATATCAAAAAAGTGTGCGCTAAAACTCAATAAAAGCTTCAATTTGCAATGTTTAGTGTTTGGCAAAGATAGATCCAGTCGTTTTGGATATACGGAGCTAAATGTGCAAAAAATAGCAGCTTTTCAAAGGACGAAGCATCTGAAATAAAGTCATTTAAAAAACTTTTTGCTTGGCAAAACGATTGTTTTTTGTAAAAATAAAAACAAAATGTTTAATCTTCAAAAAAATTTTTTTTGGATATCGAAAATAATTTGGATTTTAATTTTAAATCTAGCGAAAAGTCTAATGCTCGCTTATCAGGTTATTGGTAACATTTTTCTTACTCATTTTCCGTGTTAATTACTATAAATCTCGACTAGATTCAACATAGATTTATAATAATTCATGTGAACAAAAATCCAAAAATTGTAAGGCAAAGCATTTTTCAAGATGTATTTTTTCTTACAAAGTTTCTATCTCATTTTCTTATCGTGCTACTTCTATAAAAACTAATAAAAATGCAAAATTCATATAATTTGAGAAAAAATTATTTATTATGAACTTTAGTTTCATATAAAAATGTTCAATGTCTATGCTCGCATAAATTTCTTCAGGCCAAACTATCTATATCTAACTTACCTAACTACATCACCCGACATCATACAATTTTTATGTGCTGCTTACCTCAGAGAAAAGTTACGATATAGATTTTCTGAACGTATAAACTTCCACAAAAATACGGCAATAAAAGACTTCAGAATAATCTCGTGTATCTATATCGTGTACCACTATAAACAGGTAATTTTAAAATTCCGGGCTAACTTGTGCATACTGTATAGAATTTTGTGAGATTGCTTACATGCAACTTAATACGAGTCGTATGAATGGGATGTAATAGAAAGCGCCGTTTATCTCTTGATGTTGGTTCAACTACTCAACAACATGCAGAATATGATATCATATATCATCCAACTACAGTGAAAAATATACGCACTTTTCTCGTGTTACGAAGATTTATGTCGAGAGCTGAACGAAATACGATGTGGAAATTTCCTACAGCCTATAAGTGGAGCAATTAACTTGAGCTTTTAAAGTTTTTTCATCGTCACACTTTCGAATATCATTTTATAAGTAGGGAAGATGGGTTACGGTTGAGCCATTTTTTCATCATCAAAATTTTTGTTAATTTTCCTGTTAGCTCATAAAAAAATAAATTGAATGAAAATTTGACGACTTATCTACGAGAAAATACTGCCCTTAAATAGAATGAATTGGTTATAATATCAAATCTTACAGGAAATAGACGAGTGTAACAACCATCCACACCCCAGGAGCAGTTGGGAGAGAAAAAAAAAAACAGGTTAAAATTAACTAGACTGATAATTATAAATTTAGTATTAGTAATTGTTTTTAGTTTAGTAGTGGTAACTGTTGATTTATAAAGATAACATGAAATATATATGAAGACTGTTGCATCCAATTAAATTTATTACTAAAATGTTATATTCACATTTTTGTCAATAATTTTGTTTATAACGAGTCAGCAAGCTTTTATGATCGAATAAGAAGAAAAGGATTGTGTTGTGTTCATTTTTTTTTCTTTTACGATTTTGTTAAACGCTCTAAAATACTTGAAATGCTTATATAAGTATTACATTCCAATATGGCAGAAAACATGTGGACACCAAGTCTGGCTCTGAACTAAGATATCGTAAAAGCTATGAAGAAAATTGGTTTTGAAAATCGTCGAATTCGCAAAGAAAATTGCACAGGATGTGTGAATATAAGTCAGCTACTATCAAGCAATTTGTTCGGATGTTTGAGCATAAGTCATATGTCAGCAATGTTTATTCCAAAAGTTGATAATACGAAGCCCAGGCACCATATGTATTTTTTGTTTATTTGTAACACAATTTACAATACTAGTTTACGGCATCGTGCCTTGAAACAAATTTCTGGAACTTCCCGTAAGAAAATATTCTTATTTACGATACGATGACGTTTATATAAGATGGTTACATTAAAAGATAAATGAACAGAACTTAATCAAGCGTTGTTAGAAGGAACGACCTTATCTCACATTTCTAAGAATTAAATAAACTGAATTGCAAAGTTAAAATGATTTATATTTATTTGGAGAACACAAACACAAAAAGAGCTTTAGAATTTTCGCTAGGTTTAAAATTGGGTATGGGTAAGAAAAATGTTATCAATAACCTGAGCAAAAATCTATCGTTTTTGTTGTTTCTGTAATGTATCTAGAAACGTATCAAATTGATATACCAAGGTGCAAATGTGAATTACTATAGATATCAGGAGAAATCATACGATTTTCAATCAAACATAGATAAATCCAAAATATCAAATTTCAGCGCAAAATTTAGAAGATAGTTTTTGAATAGAAAATTTCGATAATAAATGCGTCGTTTTTTTATATTTCATTAAGTAGTTATATAATGTCTGATATAAAAGTTTTGAATAAAACGAATTTGAATTAGATATTTCATTATTTAGCAATAAATAGAAAATTTGGGAATTTTCAGTTAGATAGGGTCAAACTAGATGAAATTTACTACATTTCCATGGAAATAGTTATGCATTCCGATATAAAAGTTTTGAATAAAACGACTTTGAATTTGATATTTCAATGAATAGAAAATTTGTAACTTTGCCAACATCTTCCATTTATAAAAAAAATTCCAATATATAATTTTCTTATTATCCTCTATAGTTAAAGAAAAACTAAACTAAAGTCTTATTCTTTGATCATGATTTTTGGTAAAATTATTACATTTTTTTTATAAAAATCTGTAACTAATGATAATAAAAATTCGAAACAAAGCTTCTTCTCAATTCAATACACTTTATATTTCTCATTGGGTGATGAGAAAAAAAAGTGTGCTTTTTATGATAAATATATATAGTGTAGGGTTGTGAATAAAGCTCCAATTTGGCTTTCAGAAATTACGCTATATGTAATAACTAATATAATGTAATACTATCTGCAAATGAACTACATCATAAAACATAAAACGTATCAAATAAACAATTATGAAACTATGTTCAATAAAATTTCCAGTTAATTCCTGATCATAGAAATATACTTCTAACCTATTTTTTTAAATTTGCCATAGCCATATGATTCGCCATTTTATCATAATTTTAATTTTGAAAAAATCTTACAAAATAATACCTAGATTATTCAATCACTGTGAAATAAATATTTCATGGGCACATTTTTCATGAAAATCACACCTTATATACCCTTGATCTAGTATTTGGTCAGAAATATATATCAGCAAAGCTGGAATAACTAATAATATCTCACAATAGGTAAATTAAATGTATAGTCATTCCAGATCTGCAGATCAATATTTATACGAAATATCAGATCAAGGTTTTTTACAGTGTTAGAAATATACTTCTATAAATATACTTATAACTCTATAAAAAAATATGCCCATAAAATTTATATTTTACATTGGTTGAATAATGTAAAAATGACAAAGTAACAAATTTCTGTAAAACAGCAAAAAACACATTTCTACAATGATGAATAAGCTGGAAGTTTTACTGAACATAGTCTTTTGAATACTATTAATATCTTTTGTTAGAAATAAATAAACTTGAACACAATTAATATTTCAGATTAAACATTGATGCTTATTTATTTTTTTTATGAAGAATCTAATCTAAAGAAGACCTACTTTTCGTAGATTTGCACTATAGCTAAGTACAGATAATTCTATAAAATACAACTGCGCAAACAGTCTCAATAAACACATAGTTCTGCAAGCCTTTCTACAGTTTTAATTGCATACTCGATCTGATAAACAAAATTTAATGAATACTAAAGTAAATTAGTTTACGTACATACCGTTGTGTTTACTGTTTTTAACAGAACGTATTTTTCGAACCCGTTGTCATTGAAACAGAGGTAGAGAATAAATCTCGTCAATGTTTTCACCTGGGAAAGCGATTTTCACCAGTCGGGAAAACAACATTCGCATAAAGTAGGTCATTCTGCCTATGGTCGTGCAAAATAAACATATCATATAGATTTAGGAGTCATCTTATAGAGCGGAAATCGTAAAGCAATCATAGTTGGGAAACACTCGTACAACATTTTGTTACTGATTGCAATAAAAGTTTGAAAGTTTATTAATATATAAACTTTTTTAATCTAACGTTTGTACTTTTTTACATTCTTATTAAACCTACATCTGTTTGTCTTTAAAATTTTCATTCATTCTATTCATTTAACATTTTTCTACACCTATTTTTTTTACGAAACTATTTCAACAATTTACTATTTGCTGATTTTGCAAAATTGGTATAGACGTTTAGGAGATTGTGTATATATATCATAGATTATTTGATTATATTATAGAAAAAACTTACCAAACCTAATAGAGAACTGCTTGAAGCACCAGCCTAGAACAAAAATATAGAAAAATGAGTAAGAGTAAGGGTACATATAATCTACATATATATAAAAATAAGTCGAAATTTCTTCCTGACGAAGGAACTTCAAAACGCACGAACCGATTTCAACAATTTTGCATTCGTTGGAAAGGTTTATAGCTAAGAAAATTAGGGTGCATGCAATACGTGCCTTAATGCAAATTGCTGGAACTTCACGCACCGTAATTAAAAATTCGAGTAATGACATTAGTGAGAATTATCAAAATTATGCTTGGTTAAGTGAATGAGCAATTTTTGCCGCAAAGAATAATGATGTATACGCACTGAATTTCACCATTCAATCAAAAATTGCTGGCGATTTGGTGACATACCAATGATTCCGAATAGACTTCAAACGATTGCAAATTCCAGTTCGCCTTGCGATCGCAATAACAAATCGCAAGGCCAATCGCTTAGTATTTGCGGGATAAATTTCAAATAGGTTATTTATAAAATCATTGTTTTTCACATGGGCAGTTATACGTTGCCTGTTCACGAGTTGGAAAACCATCCGATTTGTTTGTGTTAACGCCAGACCAAAAAACAAAAAATGTGGTTTAGCAAAGAGCACTTCAATGAAACGGATAATTTGCGAATTCACTTTCATTTACTTAGAGAAGTTCAACTAAAAATACTTCATTTTTGTAATTGAAATAAATTCATTACTGTTGTGTAATAAAATCAATCTTTTCCTTTTCAAATATAAAAGAAACAAAAAATTTCTTCATCTTTCCCACGAAACTATCTGGAGGTGAAACGGAGTTCGTCGGGTTTGCTAGTATTATATAATTCTATTAAATATGTAAAAACAAAGATTAAAATAGGTATGTTTAAGAAACATACAACTATTTATATGCTTTTGATGAGTCAAAAAATTGATTGCTATGTCTTTGAAAATCATGCAAGATCATATTATTAGAAAATGTTGATTTTTTCTATAAGCATATCTAATTATAAACATACTCGATTATTATCTTCTTGCGAAATCAGTAATTTCTCACAATTTGATTTTTTTTTGATAAATATAAAATATACGAAATTTTTTGAATATATTGAAAAATTAAAAAAATAGTTATCGTATTAAAATCTAATAATGTTTTTTTCTTCATATATTGTTAACAATCTTTGCATACATCAATAGATCCTAGATTAAATAAATTTTTAAAAAAATGACATATATTTAAATAATAAATAAAAGGTCTCCGGTAATAATAATATGTTTATTTTATACTTATTTTTATTATTTTTTTCTAATGAATAAATTAATTTAAATTATATAGTTTTAGATCAGTACTGTGATTATAATCGGTGTCCAAGATATTTGATTCATATATAATATTTATCAAAAATAAATTCGAAAAGTACATAATTAAAAAAATAATTACAAACTCATGATTCTGCATTCGATTCGATTCGATTTAATTTCCACTGAAACATAGACTATGAATTATATGTGTCAATTTATTATTGATTTTGCTCATCATCATTTGAATATCGTTCCACCAATCTCATTCCAATTCATTGAACTTTAAAGGCGATTTAAGCACGAATACCCCGGATTATAGAAAGTAAATAGTAAATGTACAGCCGTAAAGGGTAGATTATTCCGCTGTTTCAAAGCGAAAGCGGAATTTCGAACAATTTGTACTATGTCCTGGATTATGATTGGAGATTGAATTGCCTATATTTTTAGATGCAAGTTTGAACTTTAGTTTACTCGAATTTAAATCGATTTATTAGTTTTTGTAAATGAGTCCACTAACATTTTTAAATTTTTAGAAAATAGCCTAGTCTTTGTGTAATTAGAGTTGAAAAAACCGCAAAAATTCGAAAACAATAGCAATTAGAAAAACAGAAGCCGATTCTCCCGTGAAATAGACCAATTTAACGAAGGGGCTATGTTACGTTTGCACCCAAATCGCTGATGATAAACCTACCTTTATATTAAAAAATTTTTTGATAAATACATTAACAATGTTTCTTTATATCATGTGAATAATAACTCTACAAAGTACAAATCAATATTGAAACAGCAGTTATAAACATGAATAATAAAAATGCATATATTTAAATTTTACGATTAACTAAGAAATTAATTCTAAAATCCAGTAGCCACAGTCGTCGGTCAACCAGTGTATAATTATTCATTGAAAATAAATTGAATTATTTTACTGCTCAGACCGTAGTTTCATGAATAATAGTATTCACGATTGAAATTGCGTGCAAAATGTGATTATTCAGGGGAACAAGCGTAGACTGTAAGGTAACAATACTGCAAACACGGCAGGTGCATACAGAATGCTAATAGAGCACTGCGGAATTAACTATTCCGACGTTTCACGCATATTTTTAACTTCCCGTAGGGTAAGTTATTGTAATGGGCCGAAAATCGGAATTGAAAATTTTTACATTTCTCGACGTTTTGAAGGTTTCTGAACGTTTTGGCATACTTCAGAAAAAATTGATGTGTGTGTGTGTGTGTGTGTGTGTGTGTATGTGTGTGTGTGTGTGTATGTATGTGTAGATACAAATTTCCAGTCACGTTTTAGGGCGCACGGATCAACCGATTTGAATGGTTCAAAAAACTTTCGATTTCTATTGATAGGGAAAAGAGCTGATTAGTTTTTGGCAAAGGCAGGTCCAGCCGTTTCGGAGATACGGAACAAAGAGTGCGGAAAATAGAAATCGAATTTTTGAGAGAACGGAGTATCCGATTGGAATGATCTAAAAAACATTCAATTAGTAATGATTGGGAGAAGTGTTTATTCGTTTTTGGCAAAGGCAGGCCCAGCCATTTCGAAGATACGGAGCTAAATATGTAAAAAATGGCAGTTTTTGAGAGAACTAAGCGTCCGATTTCAATGATTCAAAAAACTTTCTGCTTGTCTTAACAAAATAATTGATTTTGGAAAAAAAATGTTTGTTCCATTTTTTTTCTTTTTTTTTTTTAGTTTTTTGTTGAAACAAATAATTTCAACTTTGCAATTCAGTTTATATAATTCTTATAAATATTAGACAATGTTACAATATTTATAATAATCTATTTGAAAACATTCAGTATTCCTCGAACATTTCGTTACGGTACGGGAAGTTCCAGCAATTTGCCTTAAGGCACGATGCCACCCACCCCACTAGTTACTTCAGACTTTACTTTATGGACACATTTTCTATACACTATTATTTACATATTGCTGAAGATTATCAGCAGTTGATATCACGTTTCACTTTTCTGTAATTGGTAATTTTTGTTTTTATAATTTTCAACTTAATATAAAATGAAAGCAAATAAAAATAATGATAAAATTAATAAGTAACATAAGTAAAATTTCTGAATAATAAAAATAATACTAGAGAAACAATAAAGTAGAATAAAAACAATAAGTGAAATATAATAATAAATATAACAAAATAACAATATTAGAAGTAATAACATAATAATAATAATAATAATAATAATAATAATTATAATAACAATAACAATAATAAAACTGTATTAGTATTATTTACACAAGTGTTATGAAGAAATATAACCCTAGGTGTAAGTTGCATTCAATAAATATTAGAATTGATTATGATATACCTGTCGAACAGTCTAATTGATTACCTGTCGTCTAAGTGACTACTTTCCTGAGTGTTTATCAGTGTACTTTTGTATCTGTCTACCTATCAACCCGTTTACTTTTCTAATTGCATATTTTCTGCCTTTCTACCTGTTTATTGGTCTACCTATAAATTTTTGTACCAGTCCACATGTTTATCTGTCAACCTGTCATACGTTTATTTTTCTATTCGTCTGACTACTTGTCCACCTGCATACATGTACACTTCTCTACGTGTACAGAACTTTATTTTTGCAAGAGTACCCTCCAGTTTCTTCGGTCGAAAATGCTTTTAATAAACTCATGCATGAGATTGTTCTTCAATAATTTAATAATATTTCGAATTTTGCTTTTATTTAGATTTGGTTGCAAATATATGAAAAATGTATAATTTACAATTGAACATAAATTTGCACCGAAGCATTTCCAATGTGAGCTCAAAACTTTTTATATTTTGCGACATTGAAATTAATACTAATCTTCTTATATATAAAAATGAATCGCAAAATTTGTTGGTAAGCGCATAACTCAACAACGCCTGGACCAATTTGACCAATTCGTTTTCTAAAATGTTCGCTGAAGTCCAAGGATGGTTCTTACGAGGTACAAAAATCGAATAATTGCCGGGAAATCTATAAAAACAGCCCTTTAGTTTTCTCACACAAACGTTTTCTAACTAAAACGTAGAGTCAATTTGAGCTTTATTGCTATTAAAGTTCATATTAAATTACAAGCACTCACTATATACTTCTTCTAAACGATTATTCGGTTTTTGATAAATCTTTCTGAAGTTTAAGGAAATTTTCTAGGATGGGCAATATTGTAGAAATAAATGGAAAAAAATTGCAAAAAACGACATGTCATTGTTTGCATTGAAAATAAATGAAAACTATCATCTGCCAAAAATTTCAATTTACTTATGAACCTAAACAATATTAGAATAGGTATAATAAATTTATGATTATGAATAAGAAAAATGAAATGTCTACATTATTATTGCCGAAAAGTAGCTGAGATGTGCCAGAAATTAAAATAATATAAGATACAGTATATGTATGGCAGATTGAATTATACACATATGAATATGACAAATTAATTCACTTAAAATATGAATGTAAGTATTAATAATCCTACCTTTGATGCGATGTGTGCAAAAAATACGAGCGCACGCCTTAGGGGGCGCCAACACAAGATTCGGATATTAAATTTTCAATAGTTTTTTTTTCAATATATATTTTCTTTGCATCTTTTACTAATCTTTCCACAATATTTTTAAAATTCATAAAAAATTTACTTCATAACAACAAATGGGAAAGTAGAGATGAATACATACAATTCAGCCCTCACGATATCGATGAGGAGAAGTTTAAG